CCCCGCCACACCTGCTCCTCTGAGGTTCACCTGGACCGCAGCATGTATCCTGCTTATTGATATCTCCTCGGAATAGGGAAAACAGTCGTTTGGCAAAGGATTGACATTTAAATTTTAAATATTAGTGAGTTGATTTGTGCCACAACTAACCAACAAAGAACAATTTTCAGATTGCTGTAAAGCAACTGAGTTTAAATTATTTCTAGTTTACCAGGATTTTAAGGCTCACAGAATATGAAAAGATTTGACTTCAGAAAACATTTTAGATCTGTTCACAAGTCAAAAACAATTTCTGCACTACATACCAAGTACCGTCCACCCTCAACTGGAGCCTTGGAATGTTCTCTGCTTCTCTCCAACCTCGTCACAGGCGGCAACCCTGGTGGTTTTCACTTTGTGGATTTGGGTGGTCAGGTTTTATTATTAATAATAAACTGTGTACAGTTGGGTATTTGGCAAGTGTGTGTAGGCTTTGCAGCCCTCAGAGTGTGGTCTCATGGTGCGGGCGCAGGGCTGGCAGGCCACTGTGGTGGACACCACGCGGGGGCTCTTATGTAAGCGGGCCTAGGGGCCAGCACCCTCACCTATGAAGGAGACCGTTGTTTGTGCCAACTTACAAGCATCTGTGGGGCAAATGCAGATGGCGGTTAGCATCCCCAACGTTTAAGCATTTGCAAATGCTGTGCAAAGCATCTGTTGTTTAGTTTCTCAGGGATTTTTTAAGAGGAACATTTTTACTGAATATTTAACAAAAAGTTTTGCTGTACTTGTAAACATTTGCAGGACTTTTAATTTTAAATCACAGTTTTATTTTTTAATACCAAATAATGCTATTAATTTGATGAAACAGTGAATTCTTGGAATTTGTGGCAGTCTTCATCACATTTAACATGAACACACTACCTTGCACCAATTAGGTTTTTGTTTAGATGAACTACATTTGGGACTCTAAGATACACAGTCTTTTAACATAAATTCAAAGAAAAAATCCAAGAGAAGGTAAGACTTTCCTCCCTGAGCAGTGTGAACTAACACAGCTGCATTTTTTTTTCACTGTTATATACAAGCGCAGCCCTGTTGGAAGTGAGGCGTGGTCACCTGAGGAGTGTCACTCACACTGCCTAAAAACGACGCAAAAGGTGGGGTTGAAAGACTGCACACCTGATCCTGAAAGTAAATATTTACCTGTTTGGGAAACTGTGCCTTCCTCAGAGGCAAGCAAAGCTAAGGAAAAGGAGTGCGTCTCAGGCAGAAGCCACCCTGAAAATCCGTGGCAGATTCATAGGCAGAGTCATCGTGTCAGGGCCCGTGCCCTGCTCAGCCTACTGGGGCCTGGGCTGCTGCCAGCTCAGGGGGACAGTGGCCCTGGGCCTCAGCCCCACCTGGCAGCGTGCCCTCCTGTCTGCTGTGCTCTGTGCAGATGGGCTTGTCTCTTCTCCATCCTGCAGCACTTTTGTCCTTTGCCACGTCCTCAGTGCCTTCTCTGTCTCCCCGCACCCTGTCTCCTAGTCACTTCTTTGTCTCCCTTGGCTGGAGCACTGTTGGCACCTAATGAAGTCTATAAAAATCTGTCCAGTGTATAGGTGATAAGTGAAGTAAAAAATAAATAAAGTAGAGAAGTTTGCTACCCACTTATTGAATGTGTTTTTTGATTCTAGAACTTTCATTTAAGTAGAGGAATCTATCGACAGGTAGGTCTATAACCTGAAGTGGGGGAACAGGCTGGGGATGAGTGTCAGCCTCTTTCATTTTGAAGTCTCTTTAGTAAAGTCCAGAGAACGAAAGAAGACTTCCTTTGTGCATGAGAAGTCACGAATCCGTGGCAAGCGCCCCTCATGTTTATTGCCAGCCAGGCCTGAGCTGGGGCATGGGGTGTGACTGGTCGTGCCCAGCTCCCTGGGGAGGAGGGAGCTTGTGAGCCACTGGCCGGGAACCCCAGCTGACGGTGACGCGGGGAGCCAGGTGGGCCCAGGCCTGTGACCAGGTCACCATTTGCAGCCGGGTGGGAGAGAGTGGGCTTCACAGACGCGTCGTGGTGTGGGAACTGGAAAGTGGATCTGCAGCCAGAGCTGTCATCACATTGGGAGGCGAGCTCATGCCAGGGACATCTTGGGGGGCGTCCCCATCCCCCTCCCACGCTGAGGACTCTGGGTCTCGTCCTGCTTCATATCCCAGGCTCAGGAGCAGCAGGTTGGCAGGACCCTCAGTGTTCTCCATCGTCCCACCCCTCGGCCACTTCCCTGTGCGGTCAGCAGCACTGGGGAGTGCCTTGGACAACATCAGGATGAAGGCGGAAAATGAAAGCCGCTCTCGTCACTTTTCCTTTCTTTCATCAGTAGAGTTAAGCTTATTCCGTGTATTTAATGGCAAATTTGCGTCTTTCTTTTTTCAAGTTGCTCTTGTGCGTCCTTTGCTCTCTCAGCTCGGCCACCGCCAGCGTCTTCCTCTCGCCGCGGTCATGGAGGCGCTCTGCATATTTGTCAGGTTGACTGTTTAGTTCATGTCTTGCGTATATTTTTCAAAGTAAGCAGCCTGTTGCTGCCAGTCTCTTGGGAATGTTGGAAGAATTTGAGCGTCTCCGTAAGCGTGTGATCTTGTGACAAGGCCCCTCACAGACAGAAAGATAATCAGGCTACACGTGTTTATAAGTAACATTCAAGTCTAAGGCTGGGCGCTGGGGAGTGGAGTGCGAGGTCATAGATTTGGTGCTTGCTGTCCCCCAGCCAGGGAACCCCCCCTGTGCCCTCAGGGTCTTAAGCCAAGGTCGGGACCTCTCTGCCTGGGGCTGGTGCTCATTGCAGTCACAACTTATGTGACACGACACAGTGGTTTTCAACAGCACGAGCTCAGGGACCCCACACAAGCTGCTCTTCTTGAGCAATGAGGTTGTTTCCTCAGATCCGGAGATGGCCCCAAGAACAAAGCCTGTGTTTCATGAGAGACCCCCACACTCACGGTGGTGTCTGTGTAATTAACTGTCCTTATGTTTCCTGTGTGATCTGGCTCGGGTCCCGCTGCAGCCATGGTGGACCCTGTTTCCAAAGGAGCTTCTTGCTGGCTGACCCTTGCACCTTGACATAACTGCCGCAGGATTCTCCTGCTGAACCCAGAAGTATGGGTGACTAAACAAAAATTCCACTTGTGAGTGAGAACAGACGCACTCAGCGTGTGATAAAGGAGGCAAGGAGAAGATATTTCTTTAAGGGTACTAACAATTTGTTAGCAATTTCTCAAAATACTCATAGAGCCTCATACACCAAAATCCATTTTAGGTACATCGGATTGAAACATGAAGAACTGAGTATTAGCAAATAACTCAATGAATGAAAACCCAACACCAGAACAAGGGTTAAAGAAAAATGACTATTAAACCATTGAAAGGAAGATCAGTTCCACAGTTTCACAGAAATAGAAGAAAATCACAAAGCAAAAGTTAGAATAGACTCCATAAAAACAAGCGTTTGAACATCAGACTATCCAATAAGAGACTAGGGCAAACGTTTGTGCACGTGTAGAGCAGTGGAGAGGTGAGGACCAGGGCGTCAGTGCAGCCTCGTGACTGGACCTCCCTCACCTGAGACTCACCTGATGTCCCACGTCCTCCGTCGACAGCCTGGGAACTAGAACGCCTGCTTGCAGCCTTCATGCAGGGTTTAAACATGCCAGGGCTAGCACATAGTAGGTGCTCAATAAACTTATTACCGTAAAATGCCACACAGCTCAAACAGATAAAAGTGAAAAACGTAGAAACACAGCACCGCCGCCGCCACCAGACACACCACAGAGAGGCTCCTAATGAAAAGTGAGCCAGGGTGTAAGGATATCACGAGAGAGAAGAACAACCGTGTGCCTGGCAGTTCTCAAGGACACCTGACGGGAGCCAGCGGACCTTCTCCTTTCCGGCGGGAGTCCTGATGGACAGGGCACCACCCTCTGGCACAAGGCAGTCACAGACATTTTCGAAAGCAATTTAGCAAGATGTTGCAAGAACTGTACCATCAAGAGTGTGAGATGTAGTCATTCTGCTGATCCCTCCTAAGCAAGTGATCTAATACAGACGACGTTTTCTGCCCATAAAGTTCACTGCCGCCTGTTCTAACAGCAGAAAAAGCCTCTGAGTCAGGAAAGGGTTTTGTCAGCTGCACTGCCCTCCCCTCAGGAAGTGATTTTTGAACTGTTAAAAATGCTGTTTGAATACTGTATAATGCCAGGAAAAATTCATACGCTGTCCTTAAGTGGAAGGATGGACACAGAAGTGCTGTGCTATCTGACGGTAGATCTGAGGGCAAAAGGCTAAATACTAAGGGGTCTTGTGTCCAGGCAGTGAGTTTGGGCATTTAGGGGGGTCTTTTTCTTAAAGTTGCCAGTTTTGTTAGTGGAGCTTTAAAAAACAATCACCACCACCACCACCACCACCACAAGAAAACCACAAAACACACAGTTTCGACTTCAGTCCAACCTGGTGAAATCCGCTCTGCCTAAGAAAGTAGGCATGGGGCCGGGGAGGCCAGCGCTCCCCTCGGATGCGGCTGGGGGCCCCGGCTGTTCTGTGTGTACTGTGCTTGCAGTCAGCCTGCCCGTGAAGCGGCTTTGTCCCTGCACCATGGGCTGCTCATGGGATGCTTCTGATGGCACAGAACCTGCTCTCTCGGATTTTGCTTCTTTGCTGCCAGTGCCTGATTCAGAGTGTTCTTTTATGTAAGAATAGTAAGGCTTCCTTCAGAAGTGGGTTTGTGTTAGCTAACAATAAGTCTTTCTGGTGATTAAATCTGCTTTTAAAATAGAATGCAATATGTAAAAATCTTGATGGGAAGAAGACCTCTTGTTAAAACCCCTCCTGGCTTTCTCTGTTCTTTGAGAAAGCCATGGTGCCTGCAGCATCCTGAAGGAGACTCAAAGGCTGGTCTCCCTCCCTTTCTTCCCCATGTGTCCCCTTGTCCCCTCTCTGCTTCCCTGGGGCAGAGCCACCCGTCACCCGCCACTGTGCTCTCTCCCACCAGGTGCCGTGGCCAGCACAGAAGTGAAGATGAAGCTGCAGGAGTTTGTCCTCAATAAAAAGAAGGCACTGGCCCACCGGAGCCTGAACCACTGCATTTCCAGTGACCCTCGCTACTGGTACGGGTAAGTGGGGTGATGGGACTGGTTTTCTCTCTTGGGGTCAGAGTACCACGTGACTTGTCCATAGGTCTGTATGGACCCAGTTCTTCACCTACCAAGGCAGGTTGGGAGAAATCTGAAGCCCCCTCAGCACAGTAACAAACGTGGATACACCTGCAGTGCTCCAGTGGCTAACGTGGATGGCAGCATCGGAGCAGCGTTGTGGCCGGTGTCCGAGAAGCTCCGCGACACTCTTGGCTACTGCCTGCTCCTTGCTCTCGGCTTTTGGCGCTGTTTCAGCCATAGTAGGAGCCACTGAAACTGGTACTCTGGTTTGTCCATATACACCCACCAAATTTCTACCAATGTTTTTTGATTCTTAGGCAGGTCAATAAGGACCTGTGGTATTTTTTTCATCTTTACACTAAGAACCTCTGCAAAAGCCTACAAAATTAACAGAGACCACAAAAAAGCCTGTTCATGCTTAGAACTAGAGAAAGCTGACTTGCCCATGCAAAAAAAAAAAGGCTTTAAACTTTTCCAGGATGATGCATGTGAGCAGAGGGTCTTTTCTCCAGGATCTAGTGTGGCCCACATGAGTGGCCCTCAGCAGAGGCCCATTGGAGTGGAGCAGCAAAGTTATGTGGCTTTAGCAATTATCAGGGTAACAGATTTCTGTTTTGAAATGTAGCTTTCTGCTGCTCTCAAGCATCATTTTATTTCTAGAAGAAACCCGTAGGGCAGTTTTCATAAATCAAAATGTAATCAATAATTTCATTGGGAAAAATTTAGGTGTTCTCGAGCCTCAAAACAGACAAATATTTATACTAAAACACCACCAAATCCTGTTGGAATGACCCCATTTATTTCCACAGATGACCTCAGTTATCATAATATAAACTAAGAGACATTTCATTCTTCTAAGAAGCTTTTCACCTGCTTCAGCTCTTCGTGGGTACTACACGTTGCAGGGATTCCTAAGCTATGCTCACACCAGAGCATGCTGATAGTATTTATGTCATTCAAGCAATGACACACAAACTTGGGGCGGAGCAGGGGTTGAGCCGACCATGTCAGAGCTCTTGGGGGACGGCCACAGTGGCCTAGTGGAAGACACGGCAGCCATGCCAGGTCCTCTGGGGATGGATGGGAGGTGGGATGGAGGGAAGGGGCTGGCAGGCATCCAGGCCATGGTGAGGGGCTTGTGGGGGAGGGGGAGGATGGAGCCAGTGGGCTAGGGAAATGGGGCCACCTCCAGCCCTGGAGACCTGAAGGGAACGGGTGGTCTTGGTCAGCAGCAGGGCACTGAGAAACATGCTGAGAGGTTGAAAGTAGGGGAGGGGCTTCTGGGGGAGAGGAGAGACAGGGGAGTGCCTGGGGTGTCTGACCTGGATGTGGCCTGGTGGCCCTGGGTTGGATGGAGCAGGGAGCCCTCTTCTCGGAGGCTGGAGGGGAAGTCAAGCAGGGCACAGGTTTACTTTCACTGGGCTTTCTTCTTGTGTCATGTTAGGGCCCTAAATCAAACCTCACATGGTGAACCCTCATGTTCACGTGCTACTCGATGGCAAAAATGTCAGGAAACTGGGTCTTTATGGGAAAGAATTGAACCTTGACTCCAGCTTCACACTATACCCAGTGGTTAGCTCAAATGCCATAGACATGAGCATAAAAAAAAAACCAAACCAACGAAACATCTAGAAGAAGACAAGGAGAAAATTTTACAGCCTTGCAGAGGGGAGGCAAAGATTTCGAGGACACCAGAATCACCAAGTATGACTAGAAACCTCAGACTTCATCAAAATGCACAGCTTCTGCTCTTTGAAAGGTACCATTAAGAAAATGAAAAGGCAGGCCTCAGGCTGGAAGGAAACGTTCACGTGCGTGTGCCTGACACACCGCTTGTATCCACAACATACAAAGGGCTCCTGCAACTCAATAACGAAAAGACGAGCAGCCCACTGGAAACACACAGGCAAAAGATTTGAACAGGTAGCTCACACAATAAGGTGTACAAATGGCCAGGAAGCATATAAAAAGGTGCTCAGCATCTCTAGTCATCAAGGACGTGCACACCCACTGGGAGGGGCGGCTGAAGTCACGCCAGGCGTCGGGAGGCGTGGGGTGCCCGGGCTGCCACAGCTGCCAGTGGGAATGTAAGTGGCTTGATCACTTGGGGAAACCGTTTGGCAGTTTCTCATGAAGGTGAAGGTCACCTACCCTGTGACCCAGCTTTGCTCTCTAGGTGTTTACCCTAGATAAATGAGAGCGTGTCCACACAAAGGCTGTGTTCCAGTGCTCATGATCTCCAAAAAAATGGAAACAGCCCAAGTGCCCACCAGCAGAGACAGTTAAACATTCTGGGTAGCCACAGGCACTAGAATACCACTCAGCAGCAACAGCAGCGGACCGCTGATGCCTGCAGCGACCTGAGCGGCTCCAGACACACTGTGCTTAGGCAGAGGGCCACACGGAGAGCTCGTCCCTGGCAGCCTCATGGACATGAAGTTCAAAGAGTGCAAAACTCCACAGTGAGAGGAAGCAGATCGGGGGCCAGGGGACTAGAGAGGGCAGCCAGGGCCCGGCAGCTGTGGCGGAGACAGGACCGTGTCATGTCCTCACAGCGGCGACTGCAGGAGTGTGTGCGTGTGTCACAGCTTTCCACCGCACGGTCACGGTATCAGCCCACGCTGTCCCCTCTGGCTGCCACAAGCCACACGTGGCCACTGAGCCCTTGAATGAGGCTGGTCCAAATTGAGACATGCGGTAAACACAGAACTTCAGACGCTCAGTGTGAGATAAAGTATTAATCAGTTTTATATTGATTACATGATGAAATGAGAATATTTTTGGTATTGGGTTAAATAGAATATGAAAGTTAATTTCACCTATTTCTTTTCATTTTAATGTGGCTACTACAAAATTTAAAATTTCACATGTAGCTCATCATATGTCTGCTGGGCTGTGCTAATGTACACGATTAAGAGTTTTATTTATTTGACATCAGAGGTATAAATCTGATGTCATGGGAAAGGCCAATTGTTGATAGAATTTAAGTGGCTGGATTTGTGTGAAGCTTTATCCTACAATCAAGGTAATGTTTAGAAAGAAAACAGAGGTATTTATTTTCCATCTTAGTCAGTACACAAGGATTGCCTTTAGATAAAGTGTCTGGGTCGGTCTCTAGCACAGCCGCTGGCTGCTGTGTCCTCGTCCCCAGGCTGGTAAAGAACAGCTGAGAAAATGAAGAGAAGGAGCAGCCTGGCAGCTCCTGCCCTCGGGGGCGTGAGGGCATGAGGGCGTGGCTGTCGTGAGCACAGGTTACTCTGTGCAGGGGTATGTGTGAATTGTGTGAGAATAACATGGGGGGTTGAGCGTGCAAGGATGTAGATGAGTGTTGGTATGGGTGTGACTGGGTGTGGGGTGTGGGTGTGAGTGTATGAGTGGAGGGTGTGAGTGGGGAGTGTGGGTGTGAGCATAGCCAGGGATAGGGTTTTGTCCTGGCTCACCCTTCCGGTCCCTCTTGACTGGGGCATGGCGCTCAGGCCCTGGGTGTGGTGTTCCCAGAGCTGGCCTGCATCTCCCTGGAGCGACCTCCCTTTCCTGGCATCTGGAGGAGGCAGTGCACAGCGGGTGGGGTCCCCTCCAAGGTGTGCAGTTTGGGGAAGCTGCTGCGGATGCATGGAGCGAGGCTGTGCACAATACGAGGTTGCTCTTGAAGTCTCTGGATTCATTTGAGGGACTGGGCTGGTCCATCTGCAGCTTGGGGGCTCTCAGAGGACACAGGCTCTGCTGAGGCATCAGGCCAGTGGTCAGGGTGGAGTTCCATGCGGGGGCCTCCTGTTTTAGCTTGTTTGTGGGGTTGACAAAAAGGTGAGGATTTTAATACTGACAGCATCTCAAGAGATCAAAACAGTAAGAGAACTTCTATTAGATCTTAAAGGAAGTTAGCTTTTGCAACTTCTGACTTAACTGTAAACAGTCCCTACTATTAATGTATAATAGCACAAACTGTTATATTTAGTTAAGTTGTGATATTTAAGTTACTTATTATATACGTAGTTATCTTGTTTTCTCACATGCTGCATGCGCAGGTCATTTCAGGTTTCTTAGAAAGTAGAAAGGGAGTGCAGAAAGGTCCAGATTATAATTTGGCAGTGAAGAAGTTTGAGTCAGCCAAGAGCACGTTCGGCATAGGATGCGGTCTGATAGTGTGATTTGGTAGAAAGGTAACGTTGCACTCAGGCTTTCTCATGAGAGGGCGAGAGAATGGGCCAGCTGAGGCCCAGGGTTGTCCTGGTAGAAGCAGAGGGAAGAGGAGGGCTCTGGCTGGGACGCAGCCAGTGCAGGTGCAGGTGTGCATGTCCCCAGCCCTGGCCGCACAAGGCAGTGTCCTCAGGACATTTGTGCTTCTGGCGGGACTGGGGCAGGGTGTGGCCTGAAACAGCTGGCTTTGTTTTCCCACCCTGTAGACCAGTCGGATTTGTCTGTGTGATACTTTCAGCTCATTCTTTGCTCTGGTGTGCTCTCAAATATTTAAATATACACCTGCACACATTGAACAGCCCCAGTTCTTAATTCAAATACATAGCTGCAGGTGCGTGGATGTGAGTGCTGTGTATTCAAACAATCTAACAAATTCCAAATAAGTAAGTGGGCAAATTTGTTTCTAGTCATTAAGCAGATTACACACTTTCAAGACTCACAGAATTTATTAAGCTTTCAGCATTTTGAGCAAGACTCAGCTGGCAGTGCCATCCAGAAAGGTTTGCTGGTGGTCATCCCAGGTGGCGGCCAGCATCCCCCATCCTCCATGGAGCGCCTCCCCCCTGCCCCTCCCCTGCTCACCCTCCAGCAGCCTGCCCCTGTCCAGCCATTTTAAGGAGTCTGAGCAGTGCCTGGCTGTCCATAAGATCAAGTCCGTGGCTGTCACAGATCAGCTCGCAGGCCAGAGGGTGTTGGTTGCAGCCCACCTGTGCCCCCCATGCAAGGGAAATGACTAGGGTGATTTCTGTTCTGGTGGAGGCACAGATGAGCGTGGGTGTTTTCTGCTGAAGGTACGTCCCATGGGCTGCTGTTCTCAAGGAGGCAGAGAGCCCCAGACTCACCAGTGGTTGTTCTCACATTCCCGCCCCATCTTGGCTGCCTGCAGCCCTCACCTGTGATCTCTTAAACCTGTAGCCCACCTGTCTTCCTCTGCCCAACACCCTGAGGACAGGCTCTGTGTGTGGCTGATGGTGACCCTGGTCATCAGAGGACAGACCAGTGCAGGGTCATTGAAGAAGAGTTGGACCGGATAGAGAAGGGGCCACCAGGACCAGCAGCCAGAGGTGCTGCCGTCCCCACCGCCCATGCACACAGCGACATGCGGGGTAGGACGTGGCTCCGCTGGCTCGCTCACTTGTCCAGGGTTTGTTTTGTTTAATTTCACCTGCCCCTTGGGAACAGGCGAGTATGTCTAGGTGGCTGGCGGCTGAGGTGGGGCTGAAGTTCAAAGGCAGGGCCACTGTGAGGACTGCAGCTGGCTTGCGTGTGCACGGGGTGGTGCCCTAACCGGCTAAACTGCCTGTCTCTGCCCTTCTCCAGGAAAACGCAGCACAGCTCCCTTGACCAGAGCTCTCCGCCCCAGAGCGGGGTGTCGGCCTCCTACAACCACCCGGTCCTGGGAATGTACGACACCAAAGATGACTTCCCCCTGAGGAAGACAGGTCAGTGCCCAGGGTGCTGGGGGGAGGGTTCACACCAGCTCCCACCCCCATGTCCACACACACAGAGAAGGAGTCACCTGCAGATTTTAGAAATATTTGCTTTTTTATTAGAGCATCATCTTGAAAAGACATCCCAAAGGATTCACTTACGATTCATACTGAAAGAAATGAACCTCATGATGTACACCTACTTTTTAAAACTCATATGCATTTTTAAAATACGCGAAGTTTAGTTTTCTCTTGGTGGCATGCTGTACTTGGCTATACTCCGAACCGTCCCCTCAGTGGTGACAGGATAAAGCAGCTCCTGCTGAGTGTGTCACGTTCTTTCAGCAAGCGAGGGAGTGTGTGGCCTCAGTGCCAGCTCTGGGCGGTGCCAGGCAGTGGAGGCTGTCAGGGGTCCCAGAATGGGAGGGAAATCTTCATCAGAAATTCCTTGTGTGGGCTGGCCCGGTGGCACACTGCTACAGTGCGCCTCTTGGGAGCATGGCGGCGCTCCCGCCGAGGGTTCGGATCCCACATACAGACCGGTTCCCACTCACTGGCTGAGCAAGGTGCGGGCGCAGCACCGAGGGTTGTGATCCCGTTGCCGGTGCCGGTCCGGTACAGGCGCGACACTGAGGGTTGTGATCCGTTGCCGGTCACGAAAAAAGACAAAAAGGAAAAAAAAAAAAAGAAAAGAAATTCCTTGTGTCCTTCAGGGGACATCCCAGGTGGGCCCACAGTGACATGTGACAGTTCTTTATAAACCAGAGGGAGACGGGCATGTAGGCACAGGCAGGGTGCCTGGACCATTCTGGAAGCAAAAAGGGGGTACCTAGGGCAGTGTGTGATGAGAGCCAAGATGTCCTTGGACTTTTTCAGGGTGATGGTTTAAGTGGGGCAGTGGCTTTTGGGTAGGATCAGGGAGGCCGCAGACAGTGCATTGTGGGCAGGAGGGGCAGGGCCGGAGAGGAGGGTGCCTCCCAGAGGCTTTGCCCCGAAGGAGGCAAGGACCCGAGCTGTAGAAGCTGCTGGGCAGGGTAGGGTGGGAAATTCCAGGTCACCCTCGTTAATGGTGTGTGTTTTCGTCCATTTGTGTTGCTATAACAGAAATACCTGAGACTGGGAATTTATAAAGTACAGAGGTTTATTTGGCTTACAGTTGATTCTGGGACAGCTGCATCTGGCACAGGCCTCAGGCTGCTTCTATTCATGGTGGAAAGTGGCAGGCAGCCCGCAGCCGGTAGGTACAAGCAGATCACATGGTGAAAGGAAGCAAGAGAGAAGGTGGGGAGGTGGCAGGGTCTTTTAAACAACCAGCTCTCATTAATGAAAACTCACTCATTGATCCCCCCTCCCCCAGGGAGAGCATGAATCCACTCATGAGGGATCTGCCCCGTGACTCAGTCAGTTTCCAGCACTGCCACATTGGAGATCAAATTTCCACATGAGTTTTGGAGGGGACAACACATCCAAACTCCATCAGGATGGCTCTGAGAAATGAGGTCTGAAGGGTGCAGGTTTTTCTTACTGTAGACAAATTCTGTGTCATCTAAAGGTTTTTCTCTGTCCGGGCGGAAGTACATTAAAGCAGTGAACCCACGACAGCGTCTTCACTAAGCACTGAGGCGCTGTGGGGAGTGTGGGGCTGACCTGCTGCCCCACCTGAGGGACAGAAGACGTGGGGCAGACTTCTGCAGCATCTCTCAGTAAGCAGAGCTGTGTCCCAGAGAGGATTTGCAGTGCACTAGGGGGCTAAACTGGAATCAAGAGCTGGGAGTGGAAAGGAGGGGCCATTTAGCTCAGCTGAAGTAAGAGTCGACGAGAATTGGAGGTGCGTGGGGTGCGGTGGGCGTGCCAGGCCGGCCGTTCCCTGGTGGGGTGGGCCACATCACGACAGCGGGCTCCCTGGTGCTTGACTAGGACTGGCACGTTAGGGGTTTGGCAGAGCCTGTCGGACTCGGAGGCACAAGGATCCTGCAAATGTGGGCAGGTTTTAGTCTCGACCATCAACCCTTTATTGGTAAAAGTGAGTGTGTAGCTGCTGTCCTTTTCTGTCTAAATGGTCTCAGCATGTCGTTCCCACTCTTCTGTCTACTGAGAATGGTCTTGGGTTTCACCGAGAAAGAGTCCAGAATCTCAACAGGAAGAACGGGTTCAGATGTCAGTATTTTTTCCAGAAGGACGGGACAAATCTGTGGGCCAATTCTCGTAAATTGCCCTCCATGTCCCCTTTCTGAGGACTGTTGCTCTTGTTAATCACGGTCAGTCAACAAAACCAGAGTCCACAGAGAGTGAGGGGCCCTGTGCTAGGAGAGAGACGCAGGGATGAGGAGGCAGAGAACGTGCCTGCCCTGAGAACCCTGGCCATGGAGCAGGGGGGGTGGGAGGTCACGGACTTCGCAGTCCAACCACTTCAGGCTGACCTTTGCTCGCTCATCTCGTAGCTCTGTGTGCCCTGTGACAACTTCCTGAACTCCTGGCCTCAGTTTTCTCATCGGTAAAGTAGGTTCTAACCACACCCACATCCTCACAGCCATGGGGACTTGGTGGGAGGACCCAGGCTCGCACCCAGCAGGCAGTTCCCTCTCATCCTGGCTGTGAACTGTGAGACCCACAGCTCCAGCACAGTGCCTGCAGGAGCGAGTGGAGGTGACAGCCTGGCTGCCAAGCGGGGAGATTGGCCCCTGCACAGGAATGTGCGAAAACACCCCATTTGACTCCTCCCCACGGAGGTACCCAGGAAAAGACAGTGCACACCACCTGTCCCATCTGGCCCTAAAGCCCTACCCTAGTGGCTTCACGCACCCTCCATCCGTGATGGAACATCAGGGATGGAGGTGGTTGGGGACTGCTGGCTCTGGTTCCTCCCCCTCTCCCAAACAAAGTCAGCACTGCCTAGGGATCGGCCTCCTGTTCTAAGAAACAGAACCCAGCTGGAATGACCTGCAGCAAAGGTTTGTAGAAGACAAGGTGGTAGACAGGAAGCTGACTTGTCCTGCCCACCACTGTCCATCAGAGCAGCGTGGCCTGCGGTCTCTGCCCCGCTCTGCACCATCGGCTTCCTGTGCTGCGGTTTGTAGAAGACAAGGTGGTAGACAGGAAGCTGACTTGTCCTGCCCACCACTGTCCATCAAAGCAGCGTGGCCTGCGGTCTCTGCCCCGCTCTGCACCATCGGCTTCCTGTGCTGCGTTGTGCTTCTCTGGGCACCATTGGAAACAGGATCTCCAACACCTTGTGTTTTGCTCTTGACCTTGTGATACAGCACCACCCCAGCCCCTGCTTCCAGAAAGCTGGAGAGAGAATTGTCTTCTCTCACTTTGAGAAGTGTTATTTAGAATACACAGTGCTCCAGAAGAACTTAATTAAGATTTGATTGCATCATCAATTTTTTAAAAAGGCATCACTAGCACATTAATAATGTAAGGGTTTCAGAGAAAATGTTTAAACCACTTAAGAGAATGGTGTGTAGCTAGGTGCCCTGGGTCGCCCTGGACAAATCTACTCTCAAACACTTGACGTTGCTAATTCCAAGTGATTTACATCCATGCATTTCTGTAAGAAATGTGTGCATCTCTGTAATGCGAAAGACCTCATTAAATGAAATTTTAGTTATGAAGTACCTTGAATGAATTAATGATTGTGAAATACACTTAAATAATGACCGATTTTGACTTTACACTAATTTATACTGACCTTGTGCATGATTTAACCATCTCTCGACCTTTAGAGGCTGGTTATGTGATAGGTGAACATGCACTCAGCCACTCTTGCTAGTTTCTTCAATACTGCATTTTCTGTACAGCCTCTCGTGTGCTCTGTGGATGATAGTTCACGTCTGTACTGGCTCAAGTGTCTTACTTTCCTCGTGAAAAAAAAGTCACAACTCATGTTGTGAGCTTTTGATATTCAGGGAATGGAGGTTGCCCCAGCCTGTGGAGCCTGTCCAGCTCCTTTACTTATACCTTGTGATTTGGGGGAAGCTCTTGAACCTCTCTACGCCTCAGTTTTGCCATCTGTACAATGTACCTGTAAACCAGCCCTCTCCTGGGACTGTTCTGAGAAGTCAGTGAGTTGATGTTTGCAGAGTACTTGGAGTAGGACCCTATCTGGGTAGGCCTCTGTTCCTGTTTTCCTAAGCTGCTAGGACTCTCTTGATCCTTTCCGCACCCAATGACCTTTTCTGCCAGCTTTAGCATCCCCCAGCTCCTTCCTCCAATGCCCACAACTCAGCTGGGAACAGGCAGGAAACACTCAACTCCACTTAGGGAAAGACCACATGAAAATAAACACCAACATTTGTAGCCAAATGTCTGGCCAGCAAGGCGTGTCCTGCTCTGCAGGTTTTCAGGGCTCATCTCTTAGCTTCTGGCTTGCCATCACCACCTGAGCACCACCCCCCAGGAGCTCAGAACTAGATAGACTCTTCTAAATCTGAGCTCCAGAGTCAGAATCCTTGGCCCAAGGCCCAGCTCTGACTTCCTGCTAGAGATCCCCCCTTTCCCGGAAGATTGATAGCAGGGGTGTCTTCATTTCAGAGGCCTCAACCTCCCACCATCATTGGGCCTGGGGTCCCAGGTGAGGTGGAGCCCATCCCTTCCCACTGTTCCTGGGCAGCCTCAAGGACTACCCAAACTTTGGGTTTCTGAAGCCTCTCTAAAGATGCTAAATGTGTATATTTATATGTAGTCACAGAGGATAAGACATACCAGGGAATTGCTTGCATCACTGATATGTGCACCCGTTGACTGGATCCCTCCTGCAGCTTGCTGGATATCAAATGGCTTAACCAGAACTTCATTTAAACAAAACATTCAATTCCATATTCGTACTGAAGAACAGATACTTCTCCACTTTCGAAAGCAAAGTGAGCTTTGTCATTTTGAAGATATGTAAGGATTTTATTTTTCTCCCAAAGCATCTTTATCTTGATCTTCTTAACGATATCAGCTGCCATGGGTTTTTTTTATAGACTCCTAAATTTTCCTCTTAAGTGACTTCCGACTAATGAAGTGAG